CTTTTATATAATTTTTAAAGGTTACTTTCCTTTTATAGTTATTACAGAATGTTGGCTATATTCCCCATTTGTACAATACAGCGTTAAGTCTATAGCATATTCAGTAGTTTGTACCTTCCATTCCCCCATCCCTCCATTTCCCCTCTCTTACCCCTACCCCGTAACCACTAGTTTGTTCTCTCTGAATCTGCTTAAAAAATACACTTATTTTTGTGTATTGATCTAGCATCTTGCTAGATATGTAGTAGCATCTTGCTTGGTGTGTAGTTTTGTTTTCCCTGGTAGTATCTTGTGGTTTCAGTATCAAAGTTATGCAGGCTTCATAACACAAGTCAAGAGGTGTTCCTTCTGGTTCAGGTTTTGGGAAGAGTTTTTATAACTTGGTGTTAATTCTTCCTTAAACGTTTGGTAGAATTTATCATCCAAATCATCTGGACCTGGAATTTCCTTTGTAGGAAAGTTTTAAACTACAGATTCAGTTCCTTTAACGTGCATTAATATAAGTCTATTCATGTTGCTTGTTTCTTCTTGAATGAGCTTTCTTAACAGTGGCTTTTTTTTTTCCCCTCCCCACCCCCCACCTTAACAGTGGCTTTTAAAAGCTTATGCTGTTGAGTTTATTGGCATAAAGTTAAAAAACATTCCCTTGTTGTCTTTTTAATATTGTAAGAATCTGTAGTGATGCCATCTCTCTCATTCCTAATGCTGGTAATTTGTGTCTTCTCTTTTTTTTCATGCTTAGTCTGCATAGAGGTCCACAAATTTTATTGATCTTTGCAAAGTACCAGCTTTTGGTTTTTCTCTCCTTTTTTCCTATTTTTTATTTTCTTTTGTTTGCTTTTACCTTTATTACTTTTTTTCCTTGTTTACCTCAGCTTTGATTAACTCTTTTTCTAGTTTCTTCAGATTAAAACTGAAGTTAACTTGAGACTTCACTTCTTTTCTAGTTTAGATATTTAGTGCTGGAAATTTCCCTTGAGTATTTTTCTTAGCGTCATCTTTTGAGATACAGTGTTTTCATTTTCATTCAGTTTAAAATACTTTCTGTTTTCCCCTTTGCTTTCTTCTTTTCTCGATGGGTTATTTAGAAATGTGTTATTTATTTTCCAAATATTTGGAGATTTTCCAGAGATCTTTCTGTTATTAATTTCTAAGTTAGTTCCATTGTGGTCAGAGAATATACTTTACATCACTTGAATCCTTAGAATTTGTTGTGAGTTATTTTATAGTCCAGAATATTGTCTGTTTTGGTAAATATTTTGTTAGAAGTTGAGAACAAATGTATATTTGCTCCTTTTGGGTAGTTAAAAACATTGCAGTCAGTTTATATTGGTTGATAGTGTTGTTCAGGTCTGTTCTATTCCACCTGATTGTCTGCTTGGTCACTGTTATATCAGTTACTGAGAGGATGGTATTGAGTCTTTGACTTTAATTGTGAATTCTTTATTTCTCTTTGGAATTCTGTTCATTTTTGCTTCATGCATCTTGAAGCTGTGTTGTTAGTTGCCTGAGTGTTTTTTTTTTTAATTAATTTTTTATTGGAGTATAATTCTTTACAATGTTCTGTTAATTTCTGCTGTACGGCAAAGTGAATCAGCTATGCATATGTCCCCTCTTTTTTTAGACTTCCCATCTAGGTCACCACAGAACATTGAGCAGAGTTCCCTGTGCTATGCAGTAGGTTCTCATTAGTTATCTGTGTTACACCTAGCAGGGTGTATATGTCAGTCCCAATTTCCCAGTCCATTCCGTTCCTCCTTTCCCACCTCGGTATCCATAAGTTTGTTCTCTGCATCTTTGTCTCTATTTCTGCTTTGAAGATAAGTTCATTTGTACCATTTTTCTAGATTCCACATATTAGTGATATTATACAGTACTTGTTTTTCTCTCCCTGACTTATTTCATTCTGTATGACCATCTCTAGGTCTATCCATGTCTCTTCAAATGACACTATTTCATTCCTTTTTATGGCTGAGTAATATTCCCTTTTATATATGAACCACATTGTCCAAGTGTTTAGAATCTTTAGTCCTCTTCTTGATTATTTGGTTCCTTTGTCATTATGAAATGACCTTTGTTATCGTTGGTAGTAGTCTTTGCTTTGGAATCTACTTTGCTTAATATTATAACCATTCTGACTTGTCGTTAATTTATATTATCATGATATATTTTTTCTATCCCATTGCTTTTAAACCATGTATCTTTATAGTTGAAGTGCCTTGCCTGTAGGAAGCATGTAGTTGGATTTTGTTTTCTTATCCAGTTTGACAGTCTCTACATTTCAAATGGGGGTATGTACACCATTTTAACTTTCATAACCGTTCTGGTTATTACCCCAGTTTCACTAAAGAAGTAAGATGACAAATGGAAAGAGTAAATAACTTCCTTACTGTGACACATAGTAAATGGTGGATCTGTGACTTAAGCTCATAAGTAGTGTGTCCCAGGACTCCTACTCAAAATTGCTACTGAATGTTTATTATAGTGGGACTTTTTTTCCTCTCCAGGTTTTTTTTTTCTTTTAAGATATAATTGATGTATAATGTTGCATTGCTTTTAGGTGCAGCATAGTGGAATTCTTAAGAGGTCTCAGAAAGCAGAGAATTGACTTGGATACATTTGCATTTTATAGCATGTTCATGTTGATGATGGCATGGCTTTCTGGATCTTAATTTCCCAACCAGGGACTGCACCCACGCCCTGGCAGTGAAAGCACCAAGTCCTAACCACTGGATCACCAGGGAATTCCAAAGAAGGACAGTTTGATGGGAAAGTCTTATGTTAAAGAAATGATGCTAGGGTGGTCTTGTAGTAATTTAAGAGAGAGATACATGAGAGAAAAGGAGCAGACAAGAAAGACAAAGGTGTTTGGCTTGTGAACTGGAAAAATGGTGACATCTGGAAGGTTAGGAGGCAGGAAACCTGAGTTTATAGGGGCCCTAGACTAAGGTGGTGACAAAAGAAATGGCAGGGAACAGTTTTGAAGTGTTGTGAAATAAATCTTAAAAAGGCAAGGATAAACAAAGGAGCTATTGAGGTTTTGAACCTGAATTAATGGAAGAAAAATGCATGGAACATTCTGGAGGGTGAACTGATTTGGAAGAGATGGGAGAGATAATATATCTTTTGTGGCAGAGTTCTCTGTTACATATTATAATTTGAAAACCAAAAGACCTAGTCATTGAAAAATCATTTTAAAATTGGGCAAATGTATTAAAAATTGTTTTAGATAAAAATTTTACACTGAATCAAAATAAAAATTACTTTTAAAAGATATGTATATATTTTGAATTTCAAATGATTGTAAATATTTTCAGCTGTATATTTGGAAAAATTGAAAATTATGAGAAAAATTAAAAATCTGAGAAAAATTGAAAGAGCAGTATAATAATGAATCTTTCATATTTACTGATCATTAATTTATTCAGTACATTGCTACATTTATTTCTTTCCTTGCCCCTTCTGTATAGATATATATACTCTTTCCTTGAACAGTTTGAAAATAAATTTCGACTATCATGAAATTTTTATCCTTAAATACTTGTATATCTATCTTGTGAGACCAAAGACATTCTTCTTCATAACCATAATACTATCATCACTCAAGAAATTGAAAATTGACTGAAGACATTATTTATTATACAGTCTATAGTCAAATTTCCCTGGTTTCCCCTGGTTGCTCTCTAAATGCGCTTTGTACTTTTTTTCTTTCTAGTACAAGTCTGATCAATAGCTTATTGATAGCTTATTATGACCTTCCATGTCTCTTTAGCATCCTTTCATCTAGGACAGCCCCTTTGCATTCTTCTCTTTCTTCTTTCATAAGATGGACATTTTGAAGAGTTTCGGTCACCATAATCCAGATCTGTCTGATTGTTTTCCTATGATTAGATACACAGTAAACATTTTGGCCAAGAATGCTATACATATTTGTCATTGGATTGTGTCAGGAGGCATGTGATGTCCGTTTGTTTGATTGTTGATGATGCTAATTCTAAACACTTGGTTTTTAAAGGTATTTTCTACCTGATCTCTTTCCTGTAAATTCACATTTATTTCTAAATAATTAATAAGCATTTTGAGGTTCTTACCTTGTAGTCCTACAGAGCAGTGAGCTCTCTAGGGAGGAAAGCAGCAGATTGTGTGTGTATACTCTAACTTGATCCTAAATGTTAGACGTGCTTGAGCGCATATGGAAATGTGGTGTAGGTGGAATGCTAGGATGTGCAAGGGGAGGGGTGTGTGTGAAGTGAAGATGGACAGGTCACTCCGCTGTGTCGTGCAGCACGGGGGGGGGGGGCGGTTGAAAGTTTCTGAGCTGGTGGTGTACTGGGTGATGCAATTGTATTTGAGTTTTAGAAAGATAGTATTAGCAGCAATCAGATGGGAGATTATTACATCCAAGCTAAGATGATGAAAGACTGTAGCCAGTGCAGCTGAGTTCCTGGCAGAGAGAGGAAGGAGATTTGAGAAATATCTATGAGGTTAAAACTGATTGGATTTGGTGACTGGCTAAAGGTTGATTGTGGAGGATTGAGAGTTTCTTGGTGGCAGGATATTTAATAGGATTTCCCAACTCATTGACTAAATTGTGTTAAGTATAAAGTTTAAGTGATTAGTTTTTGTGACAGTTATAAAGACAGGTTCTTTTGGATTCTCTTACAGTTTCTCTTATTCTTTGTTCTTATTCTACTGTTTTTGAGGACTATTTGAATGGCAGTAACAATGTGATTCCATTTAGGGAAGCTCTCTCGTCTTGATAGATTCTACCAAAAATGTACACTTAAAGCTGCCTTTAAGCCTCTGGATAGAACAGAATTTGGCATGACCTCTTAACATTCTTTCACTAGAGAGAATGAGATTTTTGTTACAAATGACCTATAAACTCAACCCTAGCTCTAACATGTTGATTCTGTGGTGTGTCTGTTTTTCTCTCAGACAGCACATTTTATTTCCCAAAAAATTTCAATGTTTTCCTGGTCTCTTTATGTTTTTCCAAGATGTTCTCAGTGCAGCTGAGTCTTGGGGAGCAGACATGGGAATCCGAAGGGAGCAGTATAAAGAAGGCCCAGCAAGCCGTCGCTAACAAAGCTTTGACGGAATCCACGCTCCCCAAACCAGTTCAGAAGCCACCCAAGAGCAATGTTAATAATAACCCAGGTATGGCCTTGACTCGGTTCCTTGTGTTCTGTCCTCTGCATGAGCTGTTCCCTGTATTTTCCTTCACGCAGGCCTGTTGCATAGTCAGTGGGTGTTCAGACAACAGAATAGTAACTGAAGATGAGAGAATGAAGAAGGTAGTTGTAGTTATTTTAAAATTCTGCTTTAATGGCTACTCTAAAGGTGCATTACTTTTTAAATGTGACAAAAAGGCGTTTGGATACAAAGACGTGAAAATAGGACTGAGGTTTTTTTCTAAAGCAAAGATAGAAGTCATCAATTTCTCTTAAGTATATAACATATTATTATTTTTTTTATAACATGTAATTATTAATTAAAATAGTCTTTATTTTAGTTTAATAGAAAATTATAAAATTAGCCCTAAGCATCTTACTGTTTTGTTTGCTCATGTAGAGATGGTTGCCATTTACATTTAAAACATTCATATGAAGTTTGTTAAGAAACCCACAAATCCAGTAAAACCTCCTGTGTATAATATTCTAAGTAAATGAGAGTTCTAGTTTTAAGTTCCTAAGAATAATTTTAAAAAGTTGTTCCATGCTTCGATTTTAAAATGTTGATTGCTTGCAATACCAACAGCATTATATGTCCAGTTAGCTATTGGGAAGAACAAACCTGTATTGGACGCCATGCATGAATTGATAGCATTGAATTAATGAAGTTCCGTAAATTTAGTACCAGCGTTATGCCATTTACTCATCTGTGAACTTACTTATGCAAGTGGTTACCTTCTGACCAGTGTTGCTTTAGGTATTTTTGTGATGGAGTGAAAAAAGACATTATGCCTGCCAACACTGACTCCATAGGCTATTTAATTATAGTCCACATGCTCATACTCATAATCAGGTCAACACTTCTTTCCCGTGTGGCATGTGCTCTGTAGACAGTCTCCTTTTTCAAGGACTGCTCTTTCCAGAACTCCGTGACCTTCCTAATGGTAGTCCTTTTACTACCGTTCAGTAGTATATGAACGGTATATATGTAGTATATGAACACATATGTAGTATATGTTCAGCTTCTTCCAGTGTTTGTTAAATGTGGGTAAATAAGCCAAAATACTGTTATAATAAAAAAAAAACTCTTTCAGCTTAAAGCTAGGTAGAGGCTATATTTAACTTTTAAAACTCTCTTCAGATTACTGGTTGATCATTAGCACCATAGCACTATCTCTATTTATTAAGCATTTGTTTTAATACATCTAAGAGATGTAAAACCATTGTTCTTTTCTGTAAGGGTTTTAGTTATTTACATAAAACATGTAACCCAGCGGTAAAGATTAAGTACCAAGTGAGCAATAGAAGGCATCAGTATTATAAGTAATGATACACATGTACTGAAGTAGTTGAGGTGAGGTATAGGTCTTGAATAGAGAGTAGGCAGGCATAGGGCAGAGGAAAGGGTATTCCAGGCTAAGGGAATACTGAGGAAAGTCCTTGGAATAGGAATCTGGACTGTGGGTTTGGCAAAAAAATATTTTATTTATAGATGATTTTTTTTCCTCCCCTCCCCCTGTAGATGATTTTTAAGTAGAGCAGCTACGTGGCTAATAAGAGATAAGACTAGAGATATAGTTAGAAAGCAGATAGTGATGGACTGGAATGTAGCTTTAGGAAATAAATTTTATCTCTAGTTCGGGATTAACTTTTACCAGCAGGTGGATGATGTGTTCAAAAGAGCAATTTAGGGTGTTGAGTTTGACATGTTTATGGAAGGTGGAAGATACTAGAAGCTAAGTCAGTTAGGAAACCACAGCCATAGTTTATGGGTAAAGAGAAAGAAAAGAAACTCATGTTCATGGAATGGGCGGAAGGACAAGTGTTACTGATCCACTCGTGGAAGCCAGGCCTGGTGCCCCCTGGGGCAGAGGCTGTGAAGCAAGAGCAGTTGTGTGCTGAGCTTCGGTTCAGGTCCACGTCCAGGGGCTGGAGCAGGAGATTGGCGAGCAAAGGAGTCGGAGCAGGGCGACAGCGGAGTCTGAAGGCCAGTGGAGGTGTTTCCACCATTGAACGTTGTACTGAGCTGACAGAATGACTAGATTTTAGGGGGTAAATTAATTTTTTTAACTGTTAACTTCATTTTCTTTTGTAGGGACATTTTATGCATTTATTTGTTGCTGAGGTAAATTTTTAAAATAAATAGAACATTATGTATCTGCAAGTACACAAATTACGGTTGTCGAATCTTGATGGGATTTTGCACTGTGAATGCTTTGCAGGGTTTCCCAGAGCCTCAGAAGCCTGTCTTTTGGGGTTAAAGCCCTTCTCGTTAAACAACTAGGTGAAACAGCTCCAAAGGGAACCACTGTTCTGCGCCCTGTCATCCTAGATTTGTTGTGCCTGCTTGTTGGAATCGTTCTCCATAGTCTTCTGTCATAGCTTAGTTTTCTCATTGTTATGTTTGTGAGATTCATCTGTGTTAACAGTATAGTATTTTTTTGCTATGTAATATCCCACTGCATGGATATACCACGATTTATTTATTCATTATACTGGTGGGAGACGTTTGGGTTGTTTCCAGTTTGGGGCTGTTAGAGATAAGACTACTATTCTGTGAACTGGAGAAGGAAATGGCAACCTGCCCCAGTATTCTTGCCTGGAGAATCCCATGGTCAGAGGAGCCTGGTGGGCTACAGTCCATGGGCTTGCAAAGAGTCAGACACAACTTAGTGATTAAATAACAACAATGCAATGAACATTTTTGGATGTATACATTTCTTTTGGGGTTGCAGCTAAGTAGGTTATGCATGTGTTCAGTATTAATACTTAGTGTTCAACCTGACACATTTTCCTCCCACTAGCAGTATATGCAAGTTTCCCATGTCCTTGTCCACAAAGGGTGTCCTCAGCTTTCAAAATTTCTGCCTATTCTTCTGGGGATGTAGTAGTATTTCATTGTGATGTTAATTTGCATTTCCCCAATAATTGAAGTGAACACCTTTACATATGCCTGTTGGCAATAGGATCTTCTCTGCTATTGATATATTTTTCCTGTTAAAAACCTGCATTGGCAGTTTGTTTATTTTTTTTCAGTTCTTTTATTGACTTACAAGTTTCTTAGATATTCTGGATTAATATCCTTTGTCAGATATGTGTATGGCAAATATCTTTCCGTATTCCTAATGGTACATTTTGGTAAACAGATTTTTATATTAATGAAGTGTAATATATTAGTCTTTCCCCTTATGGACAGTGCTTTTTTAAAAAATTGAAGTGTAATTGAACATAGGTTTATATTAGTTTCAGCTGCACAATGCAGTGATTTGATATTTGTATATGTTGTAAAATGATCATCACAGTGTCTCATTAACATCTGTCCTCATAGTTATATTTTTTCTGTGCTGAGATGCCTTTTAGATTTACCTTTCTTAGCTGCTTTCAAATATTAAATACAGTATGACTGACTGCAGTTACCATGCTGTACATTACATCCTCTTGATTTATTTACTTTATAACTGGACGTTTGTATCTTTTGACCCCCTTTACCTACCTCCATCTCCCACCTCTGGCAACCCATTAGTCTGTTCTCTGTATCTGTGAATTCTTTTTGTGTGTGTTTTCTTTCTTTTAGACACCACATATAAGTGAGGTCATGTGGAATTTGTCTTTCTCTGTCTGACTTATTTCACTTAGCGTAATGCCTTCAAGAGCCATCCATATTGTCACAAATGGCAACTTTAAAAAAAATTACTGATTAATAGTCTGTTGTTTATGTGTATCACCTCTTCATTGTCCATTCATCCATCAGTGGACACTTAGCTTGCTTCCATGAACACGAGAGTGCACATATTAATATCTTTTCAAATTAGTGTTTTTGATTTTGGGGGGATAAATACTCAGAAGTGGAATTGCTAGAATGGTAGTGCTTTTTTTCTGCTATTTAAGATATCTTTGTCTCCCACAAACTTGTGAATACCTCATATTATTTTTAGGAGTTTTATTATTTCATCTTCTAAATTTAGGTCTAAGTTTGTGAGTAATGGAGGTTTATGTATGAGTTGAGGTAGGGTTCAAGATTTTTTTCTCCCTTTTAACACATAGACATTCAGTTAACTTAGCACTATTTACTGAAAAGACAATCCATTCAATCCATTCCTCTCTGCACTGCAGAGGTGGGGAGATCAGGCCTGACTTCATAGGAAGTAGATGGGCCTTAAGTGGTAATTACATCCCAGAGAGGAGTTAAGTTTAGTTCAGCATGGGAAATCTGCCAGTTAATGAGGAGTATGTCATAGAAGTATTTGCTTTCTTCTTCCTCTTTTTTTTTTTAACTTTTTTTAAGAAATAATTTCTTTTATACACACACACACACACACACACACACTTTATAGAAAGAGTACATATAGCTCTCAAGTAACCATCACCCAGAAATGATTAGCATTGCTGAACCAATTGCGAATAAGTTATGGACATGGTGTCCCATTACCCCTTATTCCCTAAGTGCACAGAGACTCCACTCAGGATGCTGGCGTCAGTCTGGTATCACCAGACCCCACTCACTCTTCAGTGATGGCCCCAATAGCGTCCTTTGTAGGAACAGCATCTCATCAGGGTCACTGGCCTGATGTGTCTCTCCATTCCACTTACGTGAATGGGACTGGAACAGTTCCTCAGTCTTCCTTTTATGACCTTGACATTTCCACACACTGTATGTAGAGTGTTCCTCACTTGAATTTGTCTTGTGTTTCCTCATGATTTCTGCATTTTTAGAGCAAGCATCACAGACGTGACCTGGGGTCATCTCAGTGTTTCATGTCCGGAGACCCAGGATGTTGAAATGTCCCATTAGTGATGACGTTGGTTTCTTGGTGAAGACTGTGTCAGCCAGGCTTCTATACTGTAAAGTTAATTAATAAGCATGTTTTATTATTAAATAGTATAATTAATAAGTATTTTCTGAGGAGATACTTTGAGACCATGTAAACATTCTTTTCCTTATCAAACTTTCATTCACCTACCAGCTTTGGCATCCATTGATGATTCTTGTCTGAATCAGTGACTACTCTGAAGGTTGCCAAAGGGTGATCTTTAATTTCGTATTCCTTTTTGATTTATTAGTTAGTTGGAATTCTACCCAAGAGCTTTCTCATCCCCCTCATTTTTTTGTTTGTTTATATCACTATCGATTCTTGGATTCCTGTTTTACCTGCAGGCTTATGACATGTGTGTCTGTGTGTGTCTGCACGTGCTCAGTCACCCAGTCATGTCACACTCTTTGTGACTCTGTGGACTGTAGTCTGCCAGGCTCCTCTGTCCATGGGATTTTCCAGGCAAGAATACTGAAGCAGGTTGCCATTTCCTCAGTCAGGGAATCTTCCCAACCCAGGGATTGAACCTGTGTCTCCTGCATGGACAGGCAGATTCTGATATTTACCACTGAGCCACCTGGGAAGCCCTATCTATGATATATTTATTATTATCATCATCATTTATTTTGATGCTCAAATTGTCCCAGGTTTTGCCAGTGGTATGGCCCCTCAGGTTGACTCCTGTGTCCTTCAGATAGTTCCTCCTCATTCTTTGGGCATTGCTTTCTGGCACTAGAAGTTGTCCCTAGGTCATCTTGCATTTTCTTTGCTGTGGTTCCAGTCATTTTTTCAGGAGCCCTGATTGACTGACTAATCAAGTCATTCTTTCAGCAGATATTTATTGAGTGACTACTGTTATATGTTCCAGGGACTTTTCTCACTTCCTACAAAGTTGTTTCTTTAAATGTTAGCAGTATGTTGCTCCTTGAGAACTAGTTGTGGTGTCTTTTTTTAATCTGTCTCATAATAAGAATCTGTAATTGTTGTTATGTACTTTTGTATATTTAATTAATTAGTCTTTTTATGTTTATCATCGGTAAATGTAGAAATTTCCTTTAACGTATCTAAAAACCACTAAAAGCTGGTGATGTGTTTACAATGTCAACTATATAGCCATAGAATATATGAGGATTTCTATGTAACGATCATCTTTATGCAACTTGGGTCCAACCCACACATGTTGAAAACTGTGGTACTTAGGAATTCCTGGAGGCAGCTCATAGTTTGATTATTCTTTGAATGTTTTCTGTGAGAGCGTTACTGTTTAAGTATTGGGCTGGCCAAAAAGTTTGAGTTTTTTCATAACATGGAAAAACCTGAACGAAGTTTTTGGCCAATCTAATATCAAAAGGTGTTCACATATAGAGATGTCAGTCTTGTTCTATAGGAAACAGATGGAGTACCTTGCTCTAAAGGAGTTGAAACCTTTTCTGTATGGTTTGTGCTTTTTTTCTTTTCTCCTCTCCTTCACAACGCCAGTTTCTAGCATTTCTGTAAAGATAATGTACTGTAGCCTTACTTTCAAGTGAGGAATTTACATGCGATTATTTCTTTATTTAAATAATATGAATACAGTACTTTTACCGAGTTTAAAATATAATTTTGGTGTTGGTGGCAGACATGCTGTATCCTGCAAGTGCATTAAAATCATTTCACTGATCATTTTCAAAGACATTGGCTTTCTCTTTATGGTCATCCTTAAAGGATGAGGTCTTTTAAGCTTCTTTTTTTTTTTTTTTCTATTTTTCCCCTTTGAACTTTATGCTGTTTGTGTCTGTGTGATTGTTGCAAAGAATTCATAATGACATAAATCATACAAGTGATTAGTCTGTTAATTATTAAACAAATCTTTCTGAAATAAGAAAAATCTAAACTTTTAAAGGCGTTCATGGCTCTTTGGGGTTAAAACATCTTTGGAAGACTGTTCAGCAGTTTCTGATAAAGTTAAACATAAACCTACTCTGTGATCTAGCCATTTCACTACTAGATGTATACCCAACTAAAAAGAGTGTATATGTCTTCCAAGAGACTTCTTGGAAAATGTTCAAAGCGGTTTTATACTTAATAGCCTCAAACTGAAAACAACCCAAATATCCTATCAATAGCAGGTTAGATGAACTGAGCAGAGTATTATTCAGTGACAAAGTCTGAAATAGTGATATTCAGCAAAGCCTTATGTTGAAGGAAAGAAGCAAGACAAACTAATACACATTCAGATTTGAAGAACAGGCAAAACTAATCTATGATGGCAGAAGTAAGAACAGGTAAGGTGGGGAGGTGGGTTTTGACTGGGTATTTCTGGGTGATGGAAATGTTCAGATCTTAATCTGAGTGGTGGTTATAGGTGTGTTTACATAGATAATGTTTCATGGTGCTGGGTGCTCAAGGGTTTTGCGTTTTACTTACCCCTTGGTAGAATACTGCAAGAAACAAGGAGAAGAGAATCCCTTTGTGCTGGACGTGCTCGTCCTCTGCTCTGAGTGTGTGCGTTAAATTTGGGTTTGGACTAATTGGACTTATTTAATATGTTAACTTTTTCTTATCCTTTTTCTGCCTCTTCCTTGTCCTTCCACCTCCTTTATTCTTTTTCTTTAGTTCCTGTTCTTATTATACTCTTCAGTGGTTTCATGTGAATTCTTTAGAAATGAGACATAAAATTAGCACCTTATGACTCTTGATGGCTTGCTTTTTTTTGGCCTGGCTGCCAGTTGTGCATTTGTGTCAGACTCCACCACCCCTTGGCTGATACTGTGCCCCAGTTTCTCTTCTGCAATAAGTCGACCCATTTTTGTTAGTGATGAATGGAGTCTTAAATGTGTGGTGCAGAAGGCATGCTATGCTATGCTTAGGTTGCCCAGTTGTGTCCGACTCTGTGCAACCCCATGGGCTGTAGCCCGCCAGGCTCCTCTTTCCAGGGGGATTTTCCAGGCAAGAATACCGGAATGGGTTGCTATGCCCTCCTCCAGGGGATCTTCCAAACCCAGGTCTCCCGCATTGCAGGCAGATTCTTTATGATCTGAGCCACCAGGAAAGCCCAAGAATGCTGGAGTGGGTCGCCTATCCCTTCTCCAGGGAACTTCGTGACCCAGGAATCAAACCAGGGTCTCCTGCATTGCAGGCAGATTCTTTACCAGCTGAGCTACCAGGGAAGCCTGCAAAAGGCATAATTCAAATGAAATACAGAATTAGACTGGAAATGCATTTTACTTTCTATTAAGGCTTTAGATTCATTTTTGTGATTTGTTATAATGTGTTCTGCAGCCCACGGGGTTGCAAAGAGTTGGACATGACTTAGTGGCTGAACAACAACATGTGGAACATATATGTATACATTTTTAACTAAATAACCTTTTTTGCTACTTAAAGTTGACATAATAGTTGTACATTATTTGTGAATTATTATGGGATTTTAAAAACTTCTATAAACATAGAAAGAGTAAGATACTGACTATCTCTGTACTTGTCATTAGGTGCAACAGTTACCTGCACATCCCATCTTACTTCTCATCTCTCTGTCCTCTGAATTATTTTGAAATAAATCTCAGATGTGTCACTTCATCCATAAATGCTTCAGTATCTTTAAAGATTATTCACAGGATATTGTTTTATTTACTATTTTTTCCTATTGTTAGTTGTAGAAACATTTTATTTTCACTAGATAAGTGCAGGAATTACTGATGACCCTGTATTTTTTGCTAATTTTAGTTGCTTGATTACCAAAATATAAATAAAAATATTCACAGATGATAATGCTTTTAATGATTAAAAATCATAAGCTTTCTGGAGGAACTAACTGTCAAGTTCAATGGTTTTATGATGTACAAACTAAGCAATTTATGAATGTTTTGTTTCTCTTCTTTTGAAATAGTGTAACTGTAAAGTTCAATTTTTGGTCATTACTGTACAGAAAATGTTGCAAAAACCCTGAAGAGATTTCATTAGAAATGACTTTACTGTTTATGCAGTTTGTTTATGCGCCTCCTTAGAAAAATCAAACAAGGGGCCATCCACTCTTCCGTGCTAGTTATATGTAAAATAAATATAGATTGGATGATTTATTATGGAAATATTTCACTTCTGTGCCTTTAATATTTTTTTTAAACAGGTAGTATAACTCCAACTGTGGAACTGAATGGGCTTGCTATGAAAAGGGGAGAGCCTGCCATCTACAGGCCATTAGACCCAAAGCCTTTCCCCAATTATAGAGCTAATTACAACTTTCGGGGCATGTACAATCAGAGGTTTGTATGTCTTCTTTGGTTTTGTTCTTATTTATTATTTTATGCATATTATCAAAGTTTCTGAAACTCAAAAGGTATTTCTGTTGTAAAGAAAGTTCACTTGGGGTATTTTTTGTGGAATATAGATATATCAGGCTTATAAAGAATTAAGTAATACATTAAAAAAAAATAACTTTTACAGGAGCTCATGACAGCCCTATGTTTGCTGCAGGCAGGACCATGTTTTAAAGTTGTTCCACAGTGTGGTGTGTAATTTCCAGTTGTCTTGCTCATTTATTCAGCAAGCAGATGCTTTTAGCTTAATTAGTACTTTTCTTAATTTTGTCTGAATACATTGCAAACATGACTGTTTATAACTTACAGGAAAGTTGTTAGGAGGATTTACTAAGTGTTTCTGCACACTGAATAATTTTGGGATAGTTTTAAGTGTAACAGAATTTTCTTTTGCACATGTGGCAGAATTCTTTTAAAAATTTTAGGGTTTTTATTTTTCTTGATCATTTATAAAAGTCATATGGCTCATTGTAGAGAATGTGGAAAATGCAGAAAGTTAAAAATACAAATAATTTGCAAACCTAGAATTAAACACCTTTAATATTTTGATGTGCTTTACATTCTTCTTGTTCTTTTCATATAAATATATTTAACCAAATATAAATTATCCTTTGTATGCAATTCTGTCTTAGTTTTTGGAAGTATAATATAGGAACTGTAAAATGCACGAGTCTTAAATGTACATCTTGGTGACTTTATTATTTTATTTATGTACCTATGTGTTTATAGTTTATTTGATGACCTTTCACATCTGTGTGTCCTCATGTGATCATCACCTATCAAGCTCCAGAGCACTTCCATCCCCCTGAGAGTTTCCTTACACCTGTTTACACTTGGTACTCCTGCTCCCAGCAGTAATAACCACTGTTCTATCTCCATAGATCAGTTTGGCCTGTCCTTGAACTTCCATCAATAGACTCCTACGGCATTTATTCTTTGTGTCTGGCTTTTTTAACTTCATATAATGGTTTTCTTGTTTTGTTTTGTTTTTATTTTTTGATTTTTGGGGTTCATCCATGTTGCTTGTACCTAGGTTTTACCATTTTTTTATTGCTGAATAATGTTCTTTGTATGACTATATCATCATTTGTTCATTTTGAATGTGGAGTATTACACCTTCTTTTTACTTAATGGAGGTATCATTTTTCATATCTTTAACCTTTGAAAAACATTTTTGATGGCTATATTCATATGGCTGAGGTATACTTTACAAGTATTTAGTCAAGTGTAAACAAGGAATACTTGATAAGTATATTAAAAAAACACCTGTTTTTGATCGTCTAGATTGTTCCTCCCCCTTTTTTTTGACAATTATAAATAATGTTTCAGTAAAAAATCTTTACATGCAAGTTTTTGTTTACATCATTGATTATTTCCTTAAGATAGATTACTATAAGGGCAGTATTAGGTTAAAAAGAATAATATATTACCCAATTACATTAAAGTTTATACTTATTTCTTATAGTGTATTTCATACTATTCTGACAACATTGACCTTAAAGCAGAGTCTTGATAGTTAAAAAGTGGTATGTTTAAATTTTTTGGTTTTATTGATAACCTGTTAGGCTCAACAGTTTTTTAAATAAATATTTATTAGTTACTTGTCCATTTTAATTTGCTAATTTTGATTGCATTGCTTAATCTGTCTTCAGATGTCTGTGTTGAGGATATTAGCATTAAGAATATTTGATTTTCCTGTTTTTTAAAAATTGGCTTTTTTAGTTTTGTTTTTTAATGTACTCAGTTTTAAATGTTATATGGCATAATCTATAAAATTTTGGTGTGATTTCTCTCACTGCTTCTATGCCTAAGAAATTCTTTCTCATGTTTGATCAGATATTTATTGATGCTTAAAATTTTTTTTAATTGAGGCATAATTGGCATACAATGTTGTGTAAGCTTAAGGTATAGAGAACACTGATTTGATGCATTTATATTGCAGTATGGGTGCCATTGTAGTGTTAGCTTATAACCTCTCTCCAGTCACATAATTATCATTCCTTTTAGTGTTGGTATGCTGTTGCTTTTAAAAGCATTTTGTGTATTTGCTGACAAATTATTACCATTCAGATAGGAGAAGTTATTTGTTTAATCAATAGACAATCTAATACTTTTTGGTGTCTTGCTTGGTAATGGAAAAATTACCATTCAAGATTCAGTCTCACTCAAATTGTAAATGGCTCATTTAAATATTGTTGTTCAAGTTCTCTAAGAAAAACTTGCGCCCCTTTCTCTTTGCTCTCCAGTGTATCTGGGGGCATTTACTTTATTGTCCTGGTGGGAGGGGAGGGTGCCTCTCCCCCCCACCCTCTGTGCTGGCTCGTGTGGTCTTTGTGGTGTGATGTCTCTTGTCCACCAAGGAGCTGGTTCCTCTCTTGTCTGCCCTGCTGAAACCTGCAGTTGGTGACTTGCAGTCCATCTTTTCCCCTCAGGTAATGCTGTCAGAGAGTATTGACCATCTTCCTCTTGCCCTTTTGGACTAAGCTCCTAGCTCTCCTCGTCTCCTTTGGATGTTGTTCCATTCTCATCCTCTTCTGTCTGACTGGAGCATACACTGCCAGGCTTACCAGCCCTCAGCTTGGTGTCCACGCTGCATGGGAAGCAGGAGAGACATACCGTTTCTCTTATGGTTGCTTTGCTTCCCTTTTTTCTGTTACATACCCTTGCCTTTCTCATCAGTCTGAAGTTACCGAAAATAAATACAACTACTTGCCTACTTGAGCACAACAGATAGGTTTGATCACCTGAAATAGGAACACCTTATCAATTTTATACTTATAAGATACTTTTCTTTTAATGTACTATAATTATTATTCAAGAGAATATTATATTTAAAGCTTAATGTATTTTGATATCTGTAGTCCTTTATTTGAAGTAAAGTTTTTGATTAGTGAGCTTACTACTTTTAAATGAAAGCAGACTAGTGCTAAAGCAATGAAAAAATCAGACAGTAATTTCTGTCTCGGGTGAGGTGACTGTTTTGATCAAGGCCGAGGAGCAGAGGGAATAAACAGTGTGGATGCTGTGAGAGAGGGAGAACTTTGAGGCAGAAGAAAAAGCAGCACAAAGCCTGGTGCCTCGATGGCGCCCCCAGGAGGCCAGTGTGGCTGGAACAGCCTGGGCCTGGAGGAGAGGAGTGGGGCTGAGAGGATGTGACAGGAGTCCGGTGGTTTGGTGGTGGTTTAGTTGCTAAGTTGTGTCTGACTCTTGCGACCCCATGGACTGTGGCCCACTAGGCTCCTCTCTCCATGGAGTTCTCCAGGCAAGAATATTGGAGTGGGTTGCTGTTTTCTTCTCCAAGGGATCTTCCTGACCCAGGAATCGAACCCAGGCCTCCTGCATTGCAGACAGGTGGTTTGGTTTGATTTTTTCCCCCTGTTTTGGATTTTCTGTTAAGTGAGTGCCCGCATGTGTGGTAAGTTGCTTCAGTCATGTCCGACTGCGATCCTATGGACTGTAGCCTTCCAGGCTCCTCCGTCCATGGGATCTTCCAGGCAAGAATACTGGAGTGGGTTGCTGCGCCCTTCTTCAGGGGATCTTCCCGACCCAGGGATCAAACCTGCGTCTCTTATGTCTCCTGTCTTGGCAGGCCGGTTCTTTACCACTAGCGCCACCTTAAGAGCATTGTCATTTTTCCTTCCTTGGCAACTTCCAGTTTCAGGGCCTGATTCCATGATTGTCATAAGGCTGCGAGAATTTTTTAACAACCTCTCTAAACTATTATGCCTTAGGCGGTTCCCATTTAATGGATCAAGTGGACTCTTCCTTTAGATTTTTGGAGAGTCTTTAGAATTTTCTGCAGATCATAAAAAGGCTAAAAAGAAAGTAAGGAAGTACTGGTAAACTACCAAACCATGTTTCAACCTAAACACTGTCTGCTTACAAAAGGGCAAACCTAATTACTCATTAGGCTGTTAACATTATGGTTTCATATATGACCTTAATTTGCAGGTGACAACACCTGTGTGTGTGACAGGGAATTTGGAACCAGGGATCAGAGGAGATGCTCTTGTCAGACTCCAGCTGAATTGGTAGCTTTTTACTAAGGCAGGTTCTGAAAGGTTAAGAAGTCGAAGAGACAGGTGTTATTTAGAGGGAGTTTTGAAAAGATCTTTTCATTTTCTGTTTAAAATAATAATTTTTAATATTAGATGTTACTCATGCCTTTTTTCTTTTTTAAATTCTTTTCTGGTGAGGTTTCTCCACTTGAACTTATTCAAAGGCCTAAATAGGAGCTCATAAAAAGATCTTCCCCCAGCCTGCCTTGTTTTATGTTAACTGGGGAAAAGGATTTATCCATGAGCAAACTCTGTGTATACAACTCAGATTCTGAAATACCTGGGTCTCCCTCTAATGTACCCAAGATGTTTTAAAATGAATACATCCAGAACATCTCTTTATTTCTCATTTGGGATAGTGTTAACTGGCAGATATGAAATTGAATGCACACAGACATTTGTATGACAATACAAGATGTAAAATTGGTGAATATTTTATGCTTTTGTTTATATTTTTGTAATAAAGACTTATAGACATTATCTCAAGGAGTAGAATGGCTGAAATCAGACCTCCTGCAAATAGTTGATTAGTTTTTTTGAAATTCACAGATTAAAAAAGCCTTATTGTGGGGCTAATGGCCAGAAAGCCCCCTGGGCTACTGATGCAGATAGTCAAAGGGCCACAACTCAAATTGTATTGGCTGAACATGGGAATTTTTCTGTGTGTAACGGGAAGTCTCTTGGGGAAATCTTCAGGCATGGTTAACTGTAGGGCTTTCACATTGTTTTTCCTCATTTTCCGTTTCTCTCTTTCTAGCTCTTGTCTCATTTTTCCTTTGCTTGACTTGATTTTCAAAAACACTGTCTTCCATTTGCTATACCTCATAGGCCACATAGCCCTTAGACTTGTGCTAGAGGAGACATTTTTGTTTGTGGATAGTTCTTAGA